ACATTGATTCCACCTCCACATCCGCCCTCGTCTCGGGCGCCGCCCGCAGGAGGATGTTACCGACTCGGGCGGTCGGAAACACACCGCGCGCGCGCAGGCTCATCAACCATTGCTGTCGACAGCCGAAAACGCAGCAAGCATTCAGCATAACAACCCATCACAGGAGGATGAGGAGGAACCTGGTTGGAAGATGTGGACGAACGAGATCAATAAAGCGGACAGCGACGAGGGCGACGAGCTGCCGGACGGAGACGAATACGAGGTAAGAACGGGAATGCTCTTATCCAACGACTGTGTTCCGACTCGCCGCGACGGGCTGCCAGAGAGAGAGAAAAAAAAAGTGTCAGCACGGGGTCGTATTGGAGAGGGTTACGTGGTGCACGACGGCGAGACAGTGGCGAACGCGTGGATCACACGGACTGGGGAACAAAAGCCCGTGATCTCGAAATCTCTGACAGACCTCAGCAAGGAGGAAATGGTGAAACACGCGATCGAGATAATTGAATCGAACAAAGCAGCACTTGTTTCACTATACGAGCTGAGGTTCCTCAAACGGTATCGGAGAAAACGAGCGCACAACGTAGTAGACACACGTTGGGCATTCAAGTGGAAGCACCGCGTTCAAACAACAATGCAACAACACTAGGCTCACAAGGACATGGAGAGCAATCTGGCCACCTTCGCCGGGGCTCCGCCGCGACGGGGCCACAGAATGGTCAACGCAGCAACCATGCAGCAAGATGGTTGGGCGTTGTTCGGCTTCGACGTGTCAGCCGCATTTGCTAAAGGACTCACTTTTGAAGAGCTGTCGCAACTTACGGGGGGGCCTCCTCGAATGGCGCAGCTTGGTCTTAACCGCGATGGCGCGGAACTGCCCAAGACGATCCTTGGACTTGACACCTTCAACCCCCGGGAGGAGGTATTCATCATGGCGAAAGCAGCGTATGGGCTCTAAGATGCACCCAGAGCGTGGCGGAGGAAGCTGCACCTCGTTCTGGAGGACTTCGGCCCTCGAGCGTTGTATACCGACGCCCAATTGCACGTCCGACACGAGCAGACGCACCCAACGATGATTTTGTCAGCACGCGCTGACGACCCGAAGGGTGGAGCACCGCGGAAGCTCGGGTTGCAGCTCCTGCAGCACCTGGACAAATACGTTGGCACCTGCACACAACAATGGGGCAACTTCGCCCATGTCGGGATAAAACGCGTTTCTCGCGCAGACGGTATCTACCCACATCCGGAAACAAATGTGACGACGCTTTCCGGGCTGGACCGCCGCCTCTTTGCAGGCCAGCCAGACGACGACGAGGTGAGCGAGGAGGCGGCTTCGAGCTACGCGATTCTTGTCGGGGGCGTCGTTTGCTTGCGCGTTGACCATGGCTGCCATCTGCGCGCGCGCTCAAGCCTTGCAGCGACGCGGACAAAGGCCGCGGGCGAAGGACTGCAAGCCATCGAACATGGTGCTACGGTGGGTGCGGCGGCGCAAGCCAGGAATAATGTTTTGGAAGCTCAAGGGTCCGCGCCGACTCGTTGGTGTCACCGACGCAACTTTCAAAGAGATTCCAGAGGATTCGTCAGGTTTGGCGTTGCGTGTTTGTGTCATTACTTTGAACGGCGGCGCGGAGGCTACGCCATCGTCGCGGGGCGGCAGTTGCATCGTGTTGGAGCATCTTTGCAGACGACAGCGACGAGCGGTCCGATCCACATGTTCTGGCGAAGTCTTTGCTTGTCATTCAGATTTGTTTGCGTCGATTCTCGATGTTGGCACTGTTGCAGACTTCGGCGCGACTTTTGGCTGATGCATTGGACCGAGGACAACTTCGTCCTCAATGTGACGCTGTGATCGATGCACGCAGTGTCTTTGATTGCCTTGCCGCTACGGAGTTGGGGGAGCTTGCGAAAGGAAGTCTCGCGCTTCACGTGCTCTCCTTGCGGGGGCGTTTCGCGACCAGAGCGCTCCGCAGGCTTTATTGGTCTGGCACCCATGAAAACTCGCAGATGAGCTGACGAAGGGGTCCGTGCCACGATATCAATTCGTAGCTTGTGGCAACAGCACGGACTACCGCGCGGCGCGCCCCAGAGCATGCACCGCATGCGTCCAGGGCAGGACGGAAACCACAGGGAGCACGGTGGTAGGGAACTGGCTTGTCCACAGCACACCGCAGGCATAATAGAGCATACATTACGACAGCGGCGATAACCTGAACCCATGGGCATAGACAAGTGCCTTCGGCAGCCAAATCTGAGCCAAGGGCATAGACATGTGTCCGCGGCAGGCAACGCTGAGACGTCGGTATAGAAATGTTCTACATTTTTTTCACTTCGGCGTGGGTGGCCGCCGTAGCCATTCGCGCCAGCATTAACATGCAGGCGACGGTCGTGATCGTCGCTCTGCGTGTATGCATTTTTAGACTTGATCGTAGCTTTCGGGTTGCATTGTTTCGTTTTACGGACGACCGATTATTTAGTGTTTTTCTTTCGGATATGTAGGCAGTGGTACAAACACGCACTTGCATTGTATAAGCTGGGAGATGCACGGGCGAACTCATGAATCGGCCGCTGTAGTTATGACTGGTGCTTCTCAGGTCGTACTTGAAAAGTTTGTTTTCTGAGACGGCTGGCACCGAGCCAGAGCGACCGCGCGGGAGGAGTGTCGAAGGGGATATTCGCATAAGCCCCATCTTTTCTGCTGCGCGTTCCGACGCCTCTGGGTTCAAGCCCGCGGGTCAAAGCAAATGCAGAGCAATTGCAAAGCCTTTTGCGCAAAAACATCTCACGCCTTCATCCTTTATCCCACGTGCTCTACATTTGGATCATCATTCTCATTGTTGTTTTTATCCAGGGCGCCCGCCGGCGCTCGAACTGGCTCGGGCGCGAGACCGGCGCTCCGGGCACACGAACCTGCTGGCCACGGAGCTTGATAGGCCTATTTGACCCAGCATGTTCAAGACATCGAGAGTGCAGGTACCGATGGGTAGGCCATGTCCTGCCCCTCGCACCAATAGGAGGCGTGGAGGCGACGCATGAGAGCATATATGGGTGCTATATCAATGGGTCTACTTGTTTTTCGAGTCGAGCCTTCTGTGCATGTTGCATTTCATGTGGCAAGGTTTTCGTTCGCATGCGCATCACCTTGTTGTACCCATGCGTTGTCGGCAAGCAAAATAGAAAGAGAGAAAGGGAGGGGTGCGTGTGATTGTGTTTGTGATGGTGATTGTGATTGTGTGTGTGCGTGCGTGTGCGTGTGCGTGTGCGTGTGCGTGTGCGTGTGCGTTTGCGCGTCAATGTGTGTGTGTGCGTGTGTGTTTGTGTTGTGTGTGTGTTGTGTGTGTTGTGTGTTGTGTGTGTTGTGTGTGTTGTGTGTGTGTGCGTGTGCGTGTGCGTGTGCGTGTGCGTGTGCGTGTGCGTGTGTGCGCGCGTGTGCGTGCGCGCGTGTTTCGCGGGAGCGTGGTCCGGAACCTTTTGGGGGCTGAGGCCGCCCCAGCTCAGGGGTGCTGCAGCAGCTTGCCGCCGGCCCCGCGGGTCGGCCCCCGCCGAGGTGGCGGGGCGCCCTCGTGGCGCCGTTGTTGGCGCGATTTGATGGGCCTGGATTTGCAGGCCCGTCGTCATATATTCCCGCGTAGGTGGTGTTGGTGATAGGTGGCGGCTTCGCGCCCGCTGGGAGGTTCTCATGCTGGTTTTTGTTTGTGGTCCTCGTGTCGTTCGCCCGACCAGAAGTGAAATGGCATGTCGCGCGCAAGAGGGCTGGCTTCTTTTCGTGAGCACGGGCCCCTTCGCCACAAAACGCCAGACAGAGCTCATGCTCGGCCGCCTGAGCTCCGCTGCGCGCTGGTTCATTGGCCGTCAACGCAACCAGCTTTGAGGATGTTGCGAGTCTGCAGTAGCCCCTTCCCAGCTTCATGCGTGGGGGACTATCGCCGCTTCGAAGGCTCGTGACTGGCACCTTTGAATTCGGGTGGGGGCGCGTTGCTTACAACGCATTTTTGTTTTGCGAATGCGGCGTTCCCAGCGGCGCCCGATTCGGGAGCCACGTCCGGTTCTTGACGTACTTTTTGCGTTGGGAGGTTTTCCAATGGACATTTTCCAAGGCGATATTGTGCAGAGTTTTCCCAGGGAGGTTACAAGGGAGGTTTCCGGGTTCCGCACAATACGTTGGGAAGTTCTCCAAGGCGATATTGTGCAGAATCCTCCATTTCGTTGTTGCAGAATAGCTATGGTTGACGAGGTTGACAGGTCACAGAGAAGATCAGTCGAACCCATCGGCCACTCGCTCGCTTTGGCCCGCCCCCGTGCCTGGCGAGCGAATGGCTTAGTAGTTGGGCGCGTACCGACCCTAGACGCCTCTCGTCTTGGAGAGTATTGTTGTTGATTTGGTACGCCTTGCATTACACGGTAGCGGTCCCACATACGTACGCACATGTGCGTTTTCCCTACACATGGTTCCAGATACATATATATATATATATACATATATATATATATACACACATCGCATGAATAAGCTTGCGCGCGCTTAAAAATATGCACGCGTGTATGTACATCGATGCAGTACCACACATATCCCATCCAACTTGGTACACAACATATGCTGCACATTCTCTTCGCGTGATCCCGTTGAGTGCTATCGTGTGAAGGCGACGCATGTCTTGGACGAGGGAAGCCTAGTGAGAGGGAAGTGGTGCATCACTGCTGCCGTTGGGTACCCAGGCCTGGCGTTTAGCTCTCAGGCTGCACCGTGGCATTCGGAGCTGCTAGATCAGAGCGACGTTGGCATTGCAGCCGCTTCTAAAACCCCGGTGCCCTTTCTCGGTCTTGTCTGGAAGGAAACTTGGGCTTTCATCGGAAGAATGGTGGTATCCTGACACCAGCGAGTCTATATCCATCCGTTCTTGGTAATAAAGTTTTCGATGTACCATTGCGTAAGCCGTACCATTCTTGCCCACCATAGCCAAGGATCATGTTGCTTTTGCAAATGTTATGCACGGTAGTCATGAGAGGCCGATGCTCAGCGAGGCGATGGCGCACCAGGTTACCGCTTCATGATGGGGGGAGAACGGGAGCAACAACAGGAGGAACTCAACGAGATATGGATTTGGGAACAATCGGCAGCGAGGAATGAAGGTGGGTCAGGAGAGAGAAAAAGAGACAGAGAGAGAGAGGGCTGAGAGGGACGGAGGAGGAGGAGGGGGAGGAGGAGTGGTAACAAGCGGGAGAGCTGGAGGAGGTAATTGAGGTGACGGAGGTAACGGAGGGGGAGGAGGAGGGGGAGGAGGAGGGGGAGCGTAAAGGAGAGGAGGGAGGGCTCGTGGCAGGTGGCGGAGGTGGGAGACGATGAGAAGGTGCTGGTTGCATCGGGGAGGGAGGAGGATGAATAGCAAGAAAACACAGAAGAAGAGATGCGTCCACCACCTCTCCTGGAGACCTGTGCATCCTGCGGCTTGACATCTGCAGATCAATGTTGCAGCTCGGAGGTGCGTTGGTAATGTGTGGCAGCAGGTTGCAGTTGGCGATCCCCGTAGGGAGCCATGTATTGTCTCCTGGATTGTCCTCTGCTTGTTGTCCTCTCTTTCTGCAGTTCTTGACCAGCTGTCCTCATCGATCCTGTCTTCAATGCTTCACGCCTCTTTGGCCTTTGTGGCGCCTTCATCCTGCCATTGCGCATTGATCTGACTTCTATAGTCCCACACACGCCCGACTACCCTTCCCGTCTAGCCCGACTGCCAGTCCTCTTGAGAACATGCCCCGGGCTTGAGGGGCTTGACAGCGGAGTACTGGGCAGCAGAGGAGAAGCGTTGCTACAGTTGCAGCCAGTTCTCATATCATCAATGACAGGGGGGACTTCGCAAGCGGAGCGACGTGACCTTGGTGACCTATAGGACGAGGAGGAGCGAGGAGAGGAATATCGAGCACATTCTGGTCCTCTCTGGCACTTCTCCATCACGTCCCCTGGCGAGAGTTCCAGCCAGCGGTAATACCCGCTCCCAGCACGACCACCGCCGAAGCGGAGGAAGCTCGCCAACCAGGACCGCGGCTTCGGTCATGGCATCTATTTCCCACTCTTCCTCCTTCGACCTCACCCTCCGTCTCCTTCTCCTTCCCCTCTGCCTCGCCTTTTACCTCCTCTCCCCCATGCCTCTTCCTCCCCCCCTCCCCTACTCCACCTATGGCTTCCATGAAGGGGGGGCCACGGAATTGCAGTGAGGGGGTACCACGCCCTGGGGGTGTCCCATCAGCAGTGACTCACCGAAACGTCTGAGCAGGCAAACGAGCGTCCCAAACAGCCTCGTGTAGTTCTGTCAGCGGTTAACTGAACTGGTGAGGTGAGGTGCAAGCGCGGAGGAGGATGACAATGTCGAAGATGTGAAGAGGAGAAGGCGGATGATCAGGCGGAGAAGGAGTACGAGCAGTATTCACGAGATGGGAAGATGGTATTATTTAGGTTTTCCTCGGGGGCTAGATGCTCAAGTGTTTGTCTGCCTCCCAAACTTCCTGCTCCCTTGGAGTAGATGAATGTAGCTCATTCTTGGTCCAACCTTCGGAGACAGTGGAGACAGAAAGCAGGAGGGGGGGGGGCACAGCTGCAGTGGTGACGTCGTCAACAAGAGGCGGCGCGGGCGGCGCAGGCGGCGGCGGGGAGGGTAGTCGCAGGGCGTCCAGGCCATCCAATGCATGTGTGGGCAGCACCGGGCGATCTGCCGCTGGGTCACCATGATCTTAGATACCCCAGTCTGCTTACCACCACTTCGGGTTCACTGGGCGTCCCCAGTGAGTGGCGTCTCCAGGCGACTGCACGCTGCGTGCGTTTAAGATTGCAGCTGCCATCATCTTTAGAGTGTGTATGTTGGCCCCCTCGGAGGAACTTGCCTCGTATGCCGCCCTTCGGGGGATACGGGGATCGTGGGGGATGGGTGCAGCTGACGGTTTGCGGTTGGCTTCAGAACGGTGTCATGATGTTTTGTATGTTACATCTCATGGAAAGAGCTCCCCTACAGGGTTGGCCCGAGAGGGGGCTTGGCCGAGAGAGATGGCGAGATTCTTGGACCTTGGCCAGGAAAGTTGGCTGGGCCCGCTGTCCAAGGAGGAGGTTTGTTGCGCCACTGGACGCAACAGTGTCGAGTATCTGACCAGTGAATGTAAACAAATCGAGTGGATGCAATAGCGTAGAATCTCTGTCCCGATGTTCCTCCTCGTCCTCGTCGTTGTCATATGTCGTCGATCCCTCCTCCTGGAGCTTCTTCTCTCGTCATTATCTAGCCAGGCATGCCAAGAAGGTGTCTTACTAGCGGCTTCCTAACTACAGGTGCCCTGAGTCGGTGTCCCACCCGCGCCTGATCCGTGGCCTCAATTTCTCTTCCTTCTCGTCTTGCTCCTCCTCTCGCTGTTCTTGTGTATTGGTCCAGGCGGCAACTGCGCCGAAATATTGAAATTGCGCCGAAAGGTTGCAACTGCGCGGAGAGAACGGAGGTATGGAGGTGGAGAAGGATGACGAAGAGGGGGAAAGAGGAAAAGAAGCAGAAGGAAGAAGAAAATGAGGATGAGGAGACTGTTGGGGCCTCTTGGGTCTACCCTCTGGCCCTAAAGCGGCCCAGGAGGGCCTCATGCAGCCCCAATCGTGCTCCAAGAGGGCGTAACATTCCTTGACGCTGGAGGTAAGTAGTTTCCACCGCATCGTTTGCACCACACAGGTTGCACGCATCATGCGATAACTCCGTGTCCAGGACAAGGGGGACAGAAGAGGCCCGACAGACCCTAGCATGATTTCAATACTGTCAGAGTTAAGTTTGTCTGTTGCTCGAGGGGAAGAGCTGGGATGAGGAGGGAGAGGAGGAGGAACCGGAGGAGTAGGAGGAGGGGGGTCCGCAGCCGTTGCAGGTCAGAAAATATTTGTTCCGGCTTTTATCGCTGTGCTCTGCCTCGGAGCAGCACGAATCCCTGCATCATCGCCGTCCTGTGGCATGGGCACCGAGGAAGTTCGGCTGCCTTCGGCGTCCAGCCAGGCAGTGGTAGAGAGCTATGTTTCCCGCATGACCTCGCAGCTGCCCGCGCACTTCGCCTTCGCCACACTGGCGCCGTGGAGGTCGCCGCAGCGACCCAGCAGGCTCGCCGCACCAGACTCTGCGCCTGGGGGCCACTGGGATGCAGAGGCGATCGCGTCCCGGCGTCCGAGTGCACCAGCTTGCTGGTGCCGTGCATATTCGAGACGCGATACGAGAAGCGCGTGCTGAAGGCGCTGTTGGAGCAGCTCGAGCCGCACAGTGGCCTCTGCGTGTTTGTGCTGCAGCTGCTCGAGGTCCCGGGTGAGATGAGCCGGGAGTACGTGCAGGTGGTCATGGCGCGCCACGACGCGCTCTTGGCCGTCGGTGCCAACGCGGTGGTGCTGGATCCGTGTGACGATCCAGATCGGCTGCGCCACAAACTCGATCAAGAGCGGGCTTGGTTGGAAGCGAATGCGAAGCGTGCACATTCTATGGTTGCTCCGAACGACGATTATTACCATCGCGTGCTGAAGTATCACCACGAGCTGCTATGGGAGGCCGTCCCCAAAGCTCTGATGCCCGAGTTCGACCCCATCGACCACAACCTTGTGGAGACGAGCAACATGGTGGGCGATCACCAGCTGACCAATCGTTTTGGCGCAAGGAGCGGCACCGTATTGCTTGCCGATCGAAGCGAGTCCGAGAAACTTGTCTTCAAGGTCTACGAAAAATCGGTCTATGTATCTGCTGAAGACCTGGAGTGCATCGATCGCGAATTGCGCTTCTTGAGGGACATGCTGAGGCATCCGCACATCGTCCGTTGCAGTAGCATGCACCATAGCTTCTCCCGGGTGTACTTGGCCCTCGAGTTTGGGGGCATGCAGAATCTGCACCAGCGCCTCCACGACCAGCCCGGGTACCGCCTCGACTTGGAGGATGCTGTGGACTGCGCAATGCAGATAGCAGGAGCGCTGGCCTACTGTCACTCACGGGACGTCGTGCACAGACAAGTGTCTCTGGAGCACATTGTCGCGGATGACCACTCTGAAAAGCTGTTCTGCCGCTTGGTGGATTTCAACCAGGCGGTGTGCTGCCCTGAGTCGACGCCGTCGGTCACGCCGTGCGGAGACTTGCCGTGCATCGCCCCGGAGGTGGCTCTGGACGAGTGGTACTTTGCCAAGCCTGCGGACTGCTGGAGCCTCGGGGTGGTGATCCTCGAGGCCGCTGGGGGCCTGGGCTCGATGAGGCAGGCGGTCGGCTGGCTCGAGGAGGCGGAGCTGGAGCCCACCGCCAGAAGGATCGGGCGGGGCCAAGACGAGGAAGAGTCGGTTCCAGAGCGTTCCGGAATGCTCTCAGAGCGTTCAGGAACGCTTTGAGAAGGCCGCCGCGCCCGATACATCCTCCAGAGCCGCCGGATCTCAGAGATTCTCGATGTATTCCCATCCGAATCTGTCCTCGCCCTGGCTTCATCTTGCAGGATCAAGAGCTTCTTCCTCCGCACCGGCAGCCATGCTCGCGCACTGGCGGTCATGGGCGGCGTGCGCAGCGAGCCAGTGTTGGCCAAGCTGTCCGCGCTCCTCGAGCCGAGGCCCACGGCTCGGGCGGCCATGGGCGCCATCGCGCAGTCCTCCGCCTCGGAGGGCCCTGAGGGGCCAGAATGAGGAAAGGCACCGTGACACCGTGAGTTGAGCCTCGCTCCCTCTCTACTCACTGCGGAGTATCGGAGGTGGATCGACCTCCTACCCTGACACGTCGATTAAGGAATTGGCCGTTTTCGATGCGCGAGAGAGCGTCGCGGTCGTCATTTTTGCGGGTCCAGGTCCGTCGGTTTCGGTCCCAGGCCGTTTTCACGAAGGGGAGGTTTACTAAAGGGAGGTTTGTCCACCTCCGAGAGCAGTGCCGTGCCGTGCTCGGCGCACGCTGCGCCCAGTTGCCGACTCGGGTTTCCTTCCGCCCCGTCTCGCTCTTCTCCCGCTCTTGCCTCCCAGAGGCGGAGCGTTGGCTAGACATGCAAGAGCATGCCTCGGGGGCAGAAAAGAGGGGGTGATGACTAGGGGGGGGTGGATATCATGGCGGGGGCCATGATATTTCCTCAGATTTCATGGCGACTCATCTTATTTCATTACGTCCCTGGCCCCCCCGCTGGGCCGCACACATGCCGCCGGTCATGATTTGCACCCCCCCCTCTTGGACACCCCCCTCTTGGCCGCTCCCGAATGCCCCATCCTCTGCCTGTCTTGTCCTGGCTCCTCGCCGGATGCGGCGACTCCAGAGCTCGGCAGAGGGGTGAAGCTCGCGGGCGCTGTGGTGCAGACCATCGTTTGCCCGGTGCTCTGCGGGACACGTTTCACCCCCGAGCCGACTGCAGCGGGGGTGCTCTCTCCGTGCCTTTATCTGGGCCTGGCCCCGCCCATGGCCCCCCCGACGCGAGCGTGAGATCTGGAGGGCACGCCCCCATCACGCGAGCTTGACATTTTGTCACTCAGCTCGAGGCACCGCCTACGACAGCAGCCCCTACGACAACAGCCAAGTCAATAGATTCAGCCTTGCGCCGCTCGTTTGGCTGCTTCTTAATTAGATGTCCCCTGCGCTCCCAGTAAACTGATCATACTGACATGTATTGTTCTGATCTGTTGCGTCGGTTGGGGGTCCATGACGGATACCTGTCTAACTTTTTGTAATGATGTGGATTCCATGGGTCTTGAGTCTTGAGTCTTGAGGAGGAGGAGGAGGAAGGTGAGAAAGAGAAAGAGAAAGAGGAAGAGAAAGAGGAGGAGGAGGACGAGGAGGAGGAGGCCCATCAGGGCACGCCGGGCACGCCTGGCGAGATCTGCACAAAAGCATCCACCAGATCCCTCGGAGGCCAGATATTGTTGCGAATGTGAGCTCGGCCTGACTCGCTTGTACTGCTGACAAAAATCCCTCGCCACCTCCGCGAGGACTGCCTCAGGCCCCACGTCCACGGGGCAGGAGGCCCTGTGGGGCTCTCGGCCCACTACCATCTTTTCAGCTCGCCGGGTTCCCTCTGCCTCAACGCTTGCAGTGTC